AGTCTCGGCCCTCGTATTGGGGAGAGACGGAGATCGAAGAGTGGAGGCGGAAGCTGAGGGAAGAAAGAGAAGTAGTGGCCTGTGAGTTGGAGAGGAAAAAGGCATGGCATATAGCCGAGTTACAGAAGTTGGGGGGTTTCCCGGGCCATGGATGGCGGATGATGGAGAGGGGTCGTCCTGGGGGGACTGGAGTGGGGATGAAGAAACCGTTCCCTTGATTGTTTTAGAAGAAGAACTGAACCCAGTTCCGAGTTCTGTGAAGCCCTTAACAGGACCTTGGAACCTGGAGAACACTAACCCGTTCATTAACAGTTTGTGGACACCTTTGAAACCAAGTTTGGAATTGCAAGAGACTTTGAACCCGTTTTTGAATCCTAACCCCATTAATGTTGATGTAGCAATAAATACCAAACCATTTGACTTGTTACCCCCATCTCGTCCTTTATTGGAGGTACATACAGCCCCAGAAAACGAACCTTCACACTGAGTAATAGTGTGTGTAGTTTGGGAAATTTAGATGTGATTAACTACAGAAGATATTATGAATCAATCTATGTAATCAATAAACCAAAGTTTTAGTTAAAAGAACTTGAAGTGTGGACCTGAGTCTTTCTGAACTAATGGTGATTTAGAGATCACCTGGTGGCAGCAACTGTAAAAGAAGAGAGTGTTTGCCTTTGTGTGCTCTGGGGCTTGAAGGTCAAGCAAGGGGCACGAGGGTGGACACCACAGTGTGTGCTAAGGACTCAACTGTTTTTTCCTCACGGGGGCATATCCTTTCTCCATAGGGAATGTTATTAAAGCACCCTTTTAACAAGGCTGAGGGAAAGCAATTGAACCTAGCCCTTGAGAAGACAAAACAATACAGTGGTTCCTCGCTTAACGGGCGCCTCGTTTAACAATGAATCCGCATAGCGATTGAGTTTTTGCGATCGCATAACGATGTTTTAAATGGTAAAACATCGCTTTCCGATGATCGGTAAGCCTTTCGCTTACCGATTATCGCATAACAATGTTTTTCCAACAGCTGAACGGCGGTTCCAAAATGGCCACTGGGTAAAGAAAATGGCCGCCCGCTGTGTTTTCACGCCCTTTCCTCTCTTGCTGGGCAGCGAAAATGGCGGCTCTATGGAGGATTTTCACCTGAGTTTTTTGGCCCATAGGAACGCATTAAACGTGTTTTAATGCGTTCCTATGGGCTTTTTTGTTCTGCATAGCGACGAATCCGTATAGCAACGATTTTTTCGGAACGGATTATCATCGCTATGTGGGGCACCACTGTACGTTGGTACTGTGATTTGGTATAAGTAATTTGCTGACTTGGGAAAGTTAAAATTTAAACCAAAGTACATTGGTGAACAGGTCCTGTCTTCACATGCTAGTGAATACTGGAGGTCTATATCTTTAATATGTTGTACAAGCATTGACTTGGTATAAAGCTGACTCAGAAAGAAGTCCATAGAGAAGCTTAAAAGATATAATTTGTCTTTAAATCCCTTATGCCATGAGCTGGTAAAGACATCTTTTTGTAGATAGTGTGAATACCCACTGGTTATGGGAGCATATATACCACCTTCAACCAGAATCAGAATGCATACAGCCAAGCCTGACATTCCACCGATTGGAGGCCAGCCTCTAAACACAAGGCAGCTGAAGAGACACATCTTGGCATAGTGAATAGGAGTCACAGTGAATTTGATAGAACACTTTCAATTTGCCTTATGACTGACTAGGAATTGCAATTATTAAACTTCAATTTATTTGCTTCATCCAGTCCATTACAGAGGTCAGAAGCAGTTCGGAGCCTTGGAATTAGATGGAAATGAAAAGCTGCCCTGCCCTTCTGCTCAGCTGCAGTAGTAAACTAGTTCACCAACTCCTTAGCTGTTTCTCACTCACCCCAAACTCCAGCTTGGCAGAAAGACATACCACTGCTTGGTGCCTGCTGAGTCAAGGAATGCTGTAGACATATCTCCAGGATAAACAGTAGGTTTTAGACTAAATCAAGGCTAAATTCTTCTTAGCAGCTAAAATGGTTAAATTGGGATCATGCTACTTGGAATGTATCATGAGAAAAAAAAACTTACTGGAAAAAAATACTAGGAGATGCTTGGGACAAGAAAAATAAAAATCTTAACATGAGATGAACAAACTGATTAAGGAACCCATGGCATTGAGTTTGCAAGGCTGTTCAAGATACGGTCATCAATTCAAATCATCACCAGTTAACTCTGAAGTAACCTAAAAGCACATAACAACACAATAATACTTGCTGTGATCTAGAGACCAATATTGCCCTCCCACAGACCTTGGAGTATTGCTCTTCACTCTGACACCAAATATCTGCCATTTTCCCCTCCAGAAATCTTTGATCACACAATTTGCCAATTCTGTCTCTTTTAAGTTTTTATTTTTTGTCCAGCTGAGTCTTTAAAGGTTAAACAGTTTATTCCATGTGTATATCAAATTGACAAACTACACATATGATATCTCTCCTATTGATCTCTGAATGCTTACCTGCTCTTTATTGTGGCACATAGAAAGGTGGTCTTTAGCATTGCGCCTTTCAGTTTTTTCAGTGTATATTTCTCTCTTTCTGGCGTGATTTACTCAAGTGGTGTGTACTCCAGATCATCCTGAACGTTTTGCTCTCTGCTGCTTCAATTGTTGTTGTTTAGTCGTTTAGTCATGTCCGACTCTTCATGACCTCATGGACCAGAGCACACCTGTCTTCCACTGTTCCCAGAGTTTGGTCAAATTCATGTTCATAGCTTCGATGACACTGTCCAACCATCTCATCCTCTGTCATCCCCTTCTCCTCTTGCCTT